GTAGTAAACTTTAATTTCTGTGATGATTTTAGAACATGAATTGTATCTAATAAAATTGTCATGAAACTGGGTTGTTTTTTTTCAATTTGTCTATGATACCTTACAACCTGCCTGCACCCTCACAGTCTCAGCCCTCATCGGCCTGCCTTCCCATCTGCCTCCATACATTTGAACACACATGCTACATTTCAATTACTGGGAAAAACACTGCAGGTAACTGTACATAGGAGTAGGAGATTGGCTGTAGATTTTCCTTTTCCATTTAGCAAATACTGCCAATTCTGCATTGGCAAAGGGGCTAAAAGTAAAATTGATTTGGTTTTTCTTCCATTTATTTGCATACAAGTTTCCAAAAGGATGTTAAAAATACCAGCACTGCTCTGTAGATGCAGCTCGTTAGTTTACAGGTGCTCCCTCTGCTGGCTGCTCTCTGCAATGGATCACAAAGCACTGTAAGCTTTTCATGTACAGACAATGGCTATTCTTTTGAATTCTTCCTTGACAGAAGGGGATTCTTTTAAAATCAGATATTTACAGCGCACAAGCACTAGAAAGGCAAATCAAATATATATGGCCTTAAGATATCTAAGCATCACCATTTCATTTCAATAAAAATTTCGTTTCTCAAAAACTATTTTTCCTCTTATTCTTTTCTCTTTCTGATGTTTCCTCCTTCCTTACCATGACAACACCTGAACAGCAAAGCCAATGTCACTGTTTTCACACTGTAAGAAGCACAACAGAGTGCTGCTCAGGAGTGATGTAGTCTACTCTACACCTCTCCCTTCTAGGCACTCCATGTAAAATGCGTGCAATATGACCTTGGGTTTCAGTGTATATTGACCCTACAGCTTGGTAAACTGCCTACTTTTATTTTTCAAACGTTACTAGAAACTAGGGATGTGACTGGGTAACCAGTTAACTAAGGATGTTAAGGACTACTCGACTAGTTGACTATCCGATAAGCAAATGTTAGTCGACTAAGGACTAATCAATTCCGCCCCCCCTTCCCCCGCCTCTATGAGATAGAGGCAGCAAGGGGGGAGAGGGGCAGAAAGGGTACTTCAAAGCAGTAGCACCACACAGCTGAGCCAGAGATCAACTGTGAGGCGCTGCCCATTTAAAACACTGCCTTAGTGTTTCAAAGGGGCAGCGCTCTGGAGCCTCGGGTCAGCTGGGAACTCCCCAGCTGATCCTGGGTTCCGCGCAGCATATCTGCGGAACCCATAATCAGATGGGAACCTGGGTTCTGGGAAAATGCCGCATGGAACACAGGGTCAGCTGGGTAGTCCCCAGGTGATCCCGGGTACCACGGAAATGTCACGTAAAGCCTGGGATCAGCTGGGAACTACCCAGCTGACCCCAGGCTCTGAGCAGTATGCAGCACAGCATGGAGCTCAGGGTCATCAGGGGACTCTGTGTCCCCCTATTGGAGACTGATTCCCCTGCTGACCCCGGGCTTCCTGAGGGCCCTATGGATTTGAAGTGCACAAGAGCCCCCGTTGGGGACTCTTGTAGACTCTTGTACATTTCAAAGCAGACATGCCCTGGTGCAGCCCAGAGTCAGCAGGATTTCCTGCTGGCTCTGAGTGGCACATGGAGTTCTGCATTCCTCCTCTGAAATGTACAAAAGCCCCTGCAGGGGCTCTTGTACATTTTAAAGGAGGAATGCAGAAGTGCCTATTGACTAATCGATAGAAATTCCATCAACTACTCCACTAGTCAATTAACCACAATTTAATAATATATATAGATATAGAGAGAGAGAGAGATAAACCTATCTCATAGAACTGGAAGAGATCTTGAGAGGTCATGGAGTCCAGTCCCCTGCCCTCATGGCAGGACCAAGTACTATCCCTGGCAGATTTGCCCCAGATCCCTAAATGGCCCCCTCAAGGATTGAACTCACAACCCCGGGTTTAGCAGGCCAATGCTCAAACCACTGAGCTATCTCCCCCCTTAGAATTAACTGGTAACGGTGATGCTTACTGGGTAACCAATTAACCAGCCCCCCCCAAGAACTGGCAGTCATGGGGGCTGCTCCAGCCGAGCTGGGCCCACTGTGCCACGGGGGTGGGGGAGAGGCTTAATCAGTTAACTGGTTAAATGGGATTTTAGAGCCCTATTGTAGACAAATGTTTATAATATCTCAAATTTCAGTACTGCACATCACTAACTCCTCAGTCTTCAGGTATGCAATGTGCAGATGCTATTTTTGCCTCTTAAGCAAGGAAAATACCTACAGCAATTCATTGTGCCAAGATCCCAGAGGCTCCACTGGTTCCTTATTTGTTGCAGGAAACAATGCAAGGTTCTGGCACTCAGTGCAGACACTAGGCATAACCAAACTAAGCAATTGTTTAGGGTAGTGTTTCTCAAAGGGTGTGTCTACACAGCAGGGCTTAACTCAAAGTCAATTGCGTAGCTTATTTAGAAATAGCTTATTTTGAAATTGGGAGTGTCTACACAGCACTTATTTCGAAATAGAGCACTCTTCCTCCAACTTCCCTTAGTCCTCATACAATGAGGGTTGCAGGAGTCCGAATAAGAAGACCTTCAGCTTCACAGTATTTTGACATTATTTCAAAAAAATTGCCTGCTGTGTAGATGCGGAGTAAGTTATTTCAAAACAACACTAGTTATTTTGAAACAATGTTGCTGTGTAGACGTACCCAAAGTGGGGGGCAGGCCCGCCCTGGAAAGGCTGTTAATGGGCCGCTTCGGTTTGTTTACTTACCAGCTCCATAGCCACGGAGCCCTCCCGTGGCACCCCTTGGCTGCAAAGGGCAAACCACAGCCAATGGGAGCCAACAGGCTCCGTGGCTGCAGAGCTGTTAAGTAAACAAACCAGAGTGGCCTGTTAGCAACTTTCTGAAAGTGGACCCACGGCTCACGTTGAGAAACACTGGCTTAGGGCCTACGTTTGCCACTTAACCATGAGGCCACCTATTAAGCCTCATGCTGCTGTGAGGAGAGGTGCCTTTGCCCACAGGCCACAGCATGGAATTGCCCCAGAGTTGCTGTAGTTCGGGGAGAGGTGCCCTTTCCTCAGCTCCCACTCAGGCTAGCCCGGACATCTAGGGAGTGCCCCTCTCTGGCCAGGCCTTGCTGGAGCTGCTATAGCAACAATGTGGTGCTTTTCATCTGGCTCCAAGTTTCTGTGATAAGAAAAG